TGCAAGGAAAGATTACATGTACACCTCAGAAATCAACAAATAATACAAATCAGGATTTGATTTATTGTTTTGTTGACTGTCTAGATTTAAAACAGTAGAGAAAATGTTAATGGAAACTAAACTTTGTTAAAGTACGTTGGGCATACAGTTTTAGTTTTTTCCAGAGAGCCTATTGTTAAACATTTGCAGCTGGAAGGGAAGAGTCCTCAGCAAACTCCTCTAGGAAATGAGCTAGGAAGTAGATGAACAATAACTATAGGTAGTAAATGGCCTGAAACCAGTTGTAGTTTGATAATACAAGCAGAAGTTCAGTGGGGAAAGAACTAAGAATTTGACCTTTTTTTCTTAGTGCTTTAGTTTCACTACATTTCATCAGAGAAAGAATAAAAATAGCTCTGACAAGTACCCCAGAGTTCCTCCCATCCTCCAGGTCTCTTCAGTTCCCTTCTCTTTTTACTTTGTGGAAGAAGTACTGCATGTGCTCTTTAGGAGTGAGACCTGAAAGGGAACTTACTTAGTACAATCCCCTTAACTTTAAAAATGAGGAAATTTAGAGCTAAAAGGCAAAGTGATGGGGGCGGAGCCAAGATGGCAGAGTAAAAGCAGTGACTTGCTTGAGCTCTCCTCCAAACCCCTCCAAATACTCATAAAAAATGGCTCTAAACAAATTCTGAAGCAGCAGAACCCACAAAAAGACAGAGTGAAAAAAATCTCCAGCCCAAGACAACCTGGATGATTCATCAGAAAGGTGTATCGCACAGGGCTGGTAGAGGAGCACAATGCGGTGTGGGAGCGCAGGCCTCAGCTAACCTGGAACAGGCCTCAGAGGACTGAATCGCGGGCAGCTATGGAGGTTTCCAGACTCCTCAATCCAGGAATGCCAAAGACAACTTAGAAGGTCAGTGGGAAGAGTCTGTTTCTGTCGGTGCTGAGATACGAAGGTGGGGTTTCAGCTCCATTCCCCAAGAGCTTGGCCCTGGTGGGGGCAGCTGCTTCCCAAGCTTCCCGCCCACAGACTGAGGGGGAATCCAGTGGCTGATCAGAGAGGGATTGCAGGGATCTCTTTGCCAGTGCTGAGGCAGGAATCTCTTGCTTTGCCATTTTTGGATCTGGGTCACAGTTCTGGGCTGCAATGGTGGGGTGAGGAGGAGCACTGACACAGTGGAGCTTGTAGTGGCTGTACAGAGAAACCCCTCCTCACAGTTACAGGACAGAAAGGAGTGCTTGTGGTCACAGGCCAGGAAAGGAGTAAACACCTCGCCCCTTATCATACCACCTTGGAAGAACTGAAAATTTACAGAACACTACAAGTATCTCTGAAAACAGCTGTACAAACCCCTGAAGGTTGGGACAGTACATTCCCCACATTGGAAGCAGACTCTTACCTTTACAAAGAGATTAAAACTCAAATAATTGGCCAGGATCATGAGCAAGCAGCACAAAAAGAGTCAGACTATATTATCTTACTTTGGTGAAAAAGAAGATCAAAATATACAACCAGAAGACAACAAAGTCAAAGCTCCTACATCCAAAGCCTCCAAGAAAAATATGAATCAGTCCCAGGCCTTGGAAGAGCTCAAAAGGGATTTTGAGAAGCAAGTAAGGGAAGTAGAGGAAAAACTGGGAAGAGAAATGAGAGTGATGCAAGAAAATCATGAAAAAGAAATCAAAAGCTTGCTAAAGGAGACCCAAAAAAATACTGAAGAAAATAGCACCTTAAAAAATAGCCTAACCCAAATGGCAAAAGAGGTCCAAAAAGCCAATGAGGAGGAAAATGCCCTAAAAAGAAAAATTGGCCAAATGGAAAAGGAAGTCCAAAAGATTACTGAAGAAAATACTTCCTTAAAAATTAGAATAGAGCAATTGGAAGCTAGTGACTTTATGAGAAATCAAGACACTGTAAAACAAATCCAAAAGAATGAAAAATTAGAAAACAATGTGAAATATCTCATTGGAAAAACAACTGACCTGGAAAATAGATCCAGGAGAGAGAATTTAAAAATTATTGGACTATCTGAAAGCCATGATCAAAAAAGAGCCTAGACATCATCTTTCAAGAAATTATCAAGGAAAACTGCCCTGATATTTAGAACCAGAGGGCAAAATAGAAATTGAAAGAATCCACAGATCTCCTCCTGAAAGAGATCCCCAAAGGAAAACTCCTAGGAATATTGTAGCCAAATTCCAGAGTTCCCAGGTCAAGGAGAAAATATTACAAGCTGCCAGAAGGAAACAATTCAAGTACTGTGTGAAACACAATCAGGATAACACAAGATTTAGCAGCTTCTACATTAAAGGACCGCAGGGCATGGAATATAATATTCAGGAGGGCAAAGGAGATAGGATTACAACCAAGAATCACCTACCCAGCAAAACTGAGTATAATCCTTCAGGGGAAAAAATGGTCATTCAGTGAAATAGAGGACTTTCAAGCATTCCTGATGAAAAGACCAGAGCTGAATAGAAAATTTGACTTTCAAATACAGGACTCAAGTGGAACATGAAGAGGTAAACAGGAAAGAGAAATCATAAGAGACTTATTAAGATTGAACTGTTTACATTCCTGCATGGAAAGATGATATTTATAACTCATGAGACCTTTGTCAGTATTAGGGTAGTTGAGGAAAAAAATTATATGTATGATAGATAGATAGATAGATAGATAGATAGATAGATAGATAGATAGATAGAGGCACAGGGTGAGTTGAAGATTAAGGGGTCATATCTGGAGAATAAAATTAAGGGATGAGAGAGATGATACTGGAGAAGAAGAAAGGGAGAGGTAGAATGGGGTAAATTATCTCACAAAAAAAAAGAAAAGTCTCTTACAGTGGAGGGGAAAGGGGAAGGTGAGAGGGAATGAGTGAATCTTATTCTCATAGGATTTGGCTTAAGGAGGGAATAACATAACATATTCAATTGGGTATGGAAATCTCTGTCTACCCTACAGGAAAATAGGGGGAGAAGGGGACAAGAGAGCAGGGGATGATAGAGAGGAGGGCAGATTGGGAAAGGGGGTAATCAGAAGCAAATACTTCTGAGGAGGGACAGGGTCAAAAGAAAGAATAGAATAAATGGGAGGGCAGGATAGGATTAAGGGAAATAGAGTTAGTTTTTCACAACATGTCTACTATGGAAGTGTTTTGCATAACTGTACATGTATAACCTATATTGAGTTGTTTGCCTTTTCAATGAGGGTGGGTGGGGGGGGAGAAGAGAGAAAATTTGAAACCTAAAGTTTTAAAAACATATGTTTTTTAAAAAAATGTTTTCAATGGCTACTGGGAAAAAAGAAATACAGGAAAGGGGGTACAGAAGTCTATCTTGCCCTACAGGAAAATAGAAGGGGAAGGGGATAAGAGAAGGGGGAGAGAGAGAAGAGAGGACAGACTAGGGGAAGGGATATTCAGAATGGGTGCCATCTTGGGTTGGGGGGAGGGTGAGATGGGGTGAAAATTTGGAACTCAAAAACTTGTGGAAGTGAATGTTGAAAACTAAAAATAAATAAATTTATATTAAAAAAGTTAAAATAAAAAGATTTTTAAAAAGGCAAAGTGATGTGACGAGGTCATACAGTAAATGGCAAAAGCCGGATTTGAGCTCAGATCTTATTTCCAGTCTTCACTGGAAATACTGTTTCAACCCTGATGAAGTAATGAATGAATAAGGATTAGCCCAGAAAGGAAGGTAAGCAAAAATTATAGGCCATGCAATAATAGCATGGGTGGGGAATGGGGCAAGCCAGCAGTAAAGTATATGAAGATTAGTCATCCTGTCAATTAACACTTAGTAAGCACCTACTATTTATTTACCAGGCACTAGGCTAAGTTCTAGTGGTACAAAAAGAGGCAAAAGACAGTCCTCAAAATCCAATGAGACAACAAGCAAATATGTACAAACAAGCTATATGCAGAATAAACAGGAAATAAGTGAGGAAAGGTCCTAAAATTAAAAGGAGCTGGAAAAGACTGGAGGGAGGCTAACCCCGCAACCGGCTATTGCAATAGCCCAACTATGAAGTAAGGGGGACCTCCACCAGGGTAAGGGCAGTGTCAGAGGAAAGAAGAGGACATGTTTGAGAGTTGTTGCAAAGATAAAATCGACAGGCCTTGGCTACAGATGGGCTGTGGGGTAAAAAGGGGCCAGTTTGTGAAAAGCCTGAAAAACCCACGGGGAGTTTCCATTTGAATTTAGGGAGCCACCAGAGTTTACTGAGCAGGGGAGGTAGGTGATCGTCGTCAGACCCAGAAAATTACTTTAGCAGCAGGCTGGAGGATGAGCCCTAGACTTGACTCAGGGAGACCAAATAAGCTATTGCAATAGTCGGGGGAAGAGATGAAGAAGGCCCGCACTAGAGTGATAGCTGTGAGTGGAGGCTAGGTGCCAGATGCAAGAGATGATGCAGGAGTGAGTAGAAAAGGCAAGATCTGGCAGCTGATTGGCCCTTCCGGGTGAGGGAGAGTGAGAAGTCCAGGATGACGCTAAAGTTGAGGGCCTGGGTGACCGGAATGATTGCGGTACCTATTCAGCGATAGGGTCGTTTGGGAGTCAAAAGAATTTATGAAGTGCCTACCTACTATGTGACAGGCACTTCACTAAACACTGGAAACACAAGTGCAAGGAGAAAGAAAAATAGCCCCCGTCCTTAAGGAGCTTACATTCTAAAGAGGGAAGGCAAGCCATAAAAAGAGACTGAAAGGGAGCAGCAGGGGAAGGGGGTCAAGCAAGGTACCAGTCTGGGGGCCTTACAGGGACGTTGCAGCCGGGAGAATGAAAGGAGAGGGCGTGGGAGGAAAGATAGCTGTGTTCTGCATGCTCAGGGGGAATCCAGTCCAGTTCCAGTTACTGGACAACTAGGCAGAAGGGCCGTATTCCGGAGATGGGGGAGGGGAAGTTTTCCCACTCTGCAGTGTCGTCGGCCCCCTCCCCCAACTGCATCCCCGGGCTCCCGAGCTGAGGGTGCCGGAGGTACTGGGGGCGGGGCCTCTCCCCAGCCGTGACCCCGTTTCCATGACAACATCCCCTGCGACCTCAAACTGAGGGAGCGAGCGAGCATGGCGGCTCACGCCGGGGACAAGTCCAACTTCACCTTCAGGTTCCTTCCTCAGAGAACCTTCCAGTCCCTCAGCAGCTCCGACACGGTCCAGCGCCTACGGAAGTGGTGAGCAGGCGGCCGGCGGGGCGCGGGGAGCGGGGCGGGGGCGGACCCCCGACGGACGTCTCACCCTCTGGTATCGCCTGTGTTCCAGGTCCATGCAAGGAAGGCTCTGCGCGCAGGCGTTCGGCTTCGACGAGAACTTCCAGGCCTACTGCAAAGATGATTTCTTTATGGTAAAGGCGGCCTCGGACCTTCGGCACTCAAGTAGCCAAAACTCCGCGTTTGGGGTCACGTGGTTTCTCTCTGTCCTTTGGGGGGCGGGGGACAGCCTTTAAGTGTGAGGATGAGGAGAAAACAAACAAAAAACCACAACTGGCATCTTCAGATGATCTTTTTACTGTCATTGTGAACGTTGCAAGAAATGAAATTCTCCTGGAAACGTGGTGTCTAAGTTACCTCCAGACTCCTGTCTAGAAAACACTCCCCTCCCCCCACAAAAAAAAAACAGAAATGACTTGGGTTCATTCACCCCCAGAGGAGAAAAGTGCAGATCTGACAACTTGGGGACCCTTTCGACACTGAAATAGTCTAACGTTAACCTGGTTAGTCTTTCCACAGAAGCACCGCCTCGTTGCCTTCTCTCCAACCTTTTGAAATGCAGATACACTTGGGAAAGGGCCAGACCCTTCAGATTCTTCTGCTAACAATTATTAGTTAACAGCCTACAAAGATGCAATTCAATTCAGGTTCTACAAGTAGAATCATTAAGGGAACCCTGAATGGATGTATTAGAGTTTTTAGGTTAAAGGGAGGATCGAGGAAGGAATCCTGATAAGGGAAGTGGGAGGACACAACAGATATTTCAGTGCTTCACTATATGGAGGCTAGGACTAGTCCCCAAGCCATGTCACTCAAAACTTATTCTGCATACTGTTTTTTGGCCTGATTACCTTTGGTTTCCGGCCTCAAAGAGAATAAGCAGCCTTTAGTTGGGTGTAAGGGGCCTGGCTCCTTGAGAGTCTGTGTAGGGACTGTATTTTGTTTGTATCTGTTATCTGAGCATCTAGCACAGTGCCTATGATGGGCATTCAAAAACTGAATGAATAAAGATTGAGAAGCAGTGTGAGGAAAGAACAAGAGAAATTAAAGAGAAAAGATAATAGGACAGATGATGAATGGTAGTAGAGTGCTACCAACAATTTCTATAAGTCGTCTGTCTTCAAGGAATGTGGCCTGCCAGTTCAGAAATCTAAGAATTCTAATACTGCCTGTCCAAAGCTGTTCTCAATCTGGCTCTGCTAAATGTGCTTTAATATTTCATCAATGTAGATTTAGAACTCTATCAATAATAAGCATATGTATGTATATAAATTTGATTAAAATATATCTAACAGTATCGGGTATTACGGAGTTCTGAAGAAGTATAAGTTGCATCCCGGGCTGTTGCCAACAAGATGCTTGTTGATTAGGCTTTCATGACAAAAAAAATTACAAAGGATTCATTGTCTTCCTCCTCTCTGACTGTAATGATACTTAAAAAATATTTTTAGATATCAATATGTACCAGAATTCTATGCATTCAAATGAATGTTGCACTTTAAAGTAGCCACCTTGGATACTATATAATACATTTATTCCCATGACAATGCTGTTGTTCATTTTTGGAGGAGGTGGTAGGGGTGCAGAAGTCTTCTAGAATTGCCTTTAAAGCCAATTTAAAAGCCATACAAGAAAATGGGCTTCATTACATTGTGGTCTTGATGGGTTTTTTGTTGTTTTTTAATTAAAATGTTATTATACACCTTATTCATGGGACATTGCTCTAAATTACTTGTGGTTTTTTTCCAAAAATCAAGTCCAGCCTCAAAAACTGACTGTCACCATTTAGTATGTTCCAAAGACTTTATCACAGAGTTATTACAAAAACAAGGGGATTTCAAAAATGTTTTTAACCATAGAATTTTTTACTTGGGAAAAATACTAGAAAGCCTCTAGTCCAAATCTCATTTCATATATCAGGAAACTGAGGCCTAAGATAGGCTAAGAGATTTTCTAGAATGTATAGCTGGTAATTGGCAAAACCACAACTAGGACCCATATCCCTTGACTTCTGTTCCAGTGCTCCACTATACCACAAAATGGTATTGTTCAAACTAGTATATAAGCTTCCAAGATGACTCCTTTGAAGTATATTAAAACTTATTTGGATGTTTGAGTTCTGATATGTTTACTTTAAAACCTTCCATGTTATTTTATAGTTATAATCTGCATGCACATTTCTTTCCCAATCCCTGAATTTAACAGATCACTAGATACAATTGAGATTTGTGAATTTTCCCTTCAAAATTCACCACTGAAGCCCATTAGACCATTAACTTCCATACACTGGTAGGCACAGTTAACCCACCAAACCCTTTATCTCAGCTTATATTGTTAAGAAAAAAATATTTTTATATTTTATTTTTTATTTGTTCCAGTGTTATTGTAAACAATGAAGAGGAAAAAAGTTTGCCTTTTTTTTTTAACCTTACTGAACTTTGGAATACAGTAACATATTGTTTCCTTTTCAAGTTCTGTTGAATAATGTTATCCCGGTAATATTAGACTTTTCACTAGAATACAAGGAACAGTTAGAGTAGTAGGACTGCTTCTAGTTGGTTTTTTTTTCCCTCCAAAGAAGGTCAAACCTCATATTTAAAAATTCCAACGTGTTCCAAGTGATTTAAGCGTCCTTTTTTCCCTTTTGCAAATGTGGAAGTTAAGTCATGTCCCAAAATTCATAGTGTCAAGGATATCTATTTAAGTAGGTGAGTAGTTCCTTCTTCCTAAACTCTTTTAATTTGAATTTATTTACCACTACTACCACCATCACTTTATATTATCAAGAACAAATACATAAATCTCAGTTTGAACCCTGACAATTTGGAATTTCTGATTATTTGATCAAGTACAAGGCACTTAGGTAGGATTAGGAGACACACTGACAAAAACAAAAGTCTCTGACTTGAAGGACCATACATTACTTTTGTGGCAAAGTGTCTACAGCTAAGTGTGATACAAGGTAAATTAAGGGAGTAAAGAGCGCTAAGTGGGGTGGGGATCAGAGAAAGCATCATACAGAAGTCACATCTGTACTATATATTGAAGTGTAGCTTTGTGCTATTTTTAAAAAAGATTTGCTTTGCAATTAGTATTGTAAGAGAATTGTTTTCAGATGGTATTTGAAAGAATCATTTTATATGCAAATATGGCATTTTCATCAAATACAATTCTTATCTAATTATTAAATCCTAAAGAACCTGTAATTGGAATATACTTTGTTAGCTCTTTTTCATGGTACTGCATATTTATGGAATTAATAAAACTTTAATTCTTTTAAAAATTTATCAGTCTTTTCACTCATTTACACAGACCCTCCTTTTTAGTTTAGCTGGGTTTTTTTTTAGAGATTTTTAATCTGGTTCTTTCATGAAAAAGTAATAGTTACATGGAAAAGTCAAGTATTATGCTTATATTAGAAATTAAGCTTCTGTTATTAGTAACAAAATGTTTAACTTTTTCTCCTATTTTATATTTTAGGCTTTTTTTAGAGACCCAAATGTTATTTCGGATTTGAAATTACTTTCAGATTCTTCTGGACGATGGATTAATTTAGGTAAATAACTGGAATTTAGTATTAATCTTTCCTCATGACTATTTTCCAATTTTTCTAAGGAGAAAATTTTACTTGTGAATAAAAGCAACAATGTAAATGTAAATATTTGCCTTGGTGAAATAACTAACATATCAATCTGCTAGAGAGCCAGCATGGTATAATGGATAGAGTGAGGAAGACCTGGGTTCAGTTCTGGTTTCTCACACATACCAGCTGTGTACACATACCCTACATACCATCACACACACACACACACACACACACACACACACACCCTCCCCATCTTTCTAAGACTCTTAGTTACAGTTAGTAGATTAGTAAAGGGAGTTTCCATGCTGGGAACTCCCATTTCATTTCCATGTCTAGACAAAAGAAAAACCAATCTGCTTAAAGATCTTTCCTTCCTTTATTAACAGTAAGTAAACTCTAGGAATCTTTAATACTTATGATTAAACTGTCACTATTTCTACCTTCGGAAAATTGAAGGTGCTAGCTATCCATGTACCTGGATAGGAAAAAGATCTAGAATTCAGAGCTGAAAAGAATCTCAAAGATCATGTTACCCTAGAGCAATATTTTTTCTTCCTTTCCTTATTCGACTAGGTTAGTAATAGCAGATTACTGAAGTGGGAGTTCCATCCTCAGAAATTCAGCCTAGGTTTTCCAACTCAAAAAAAACCCTCTACTCTATAGGAACTAATAAGGAGATTTATTGCACTTGGACCATAGACATCTCTCCACTTTGCCCCAGGCAATTACCTTGGGCCATCATTACCTTGAAGACTTTAAATCCTATCTCCTTCTCTGTTCCATTTTCCTCCTAGCCTCTAAGTGTGGTTGTCACGTGGCTCTCTTTTTATCTCTCCTCTTTTGTCTCTATATTCTCTTAGTGATATAATCTACTCTCTTGGATTCATTTATCACTTACATGCAAATAACTGTCTCTTGAAAGTTAATTGAAATAATGGAAACGGTATGGAAAACTGAATCAGGAATGCCTAAATTCAAATCTGACATTTACTAGCTCTGTGACCTTGGGCATGCCTGTTGCATCTGTAAAATGGGAATGATAATAGTACCTACCTTGCAAGGTAGTTATGAGGATAAAGTGAGATAATACTTATAAAACTCTTTACAAACCGTAAAGGGGCATATAAATAAATGCTCCTTCTTGTTGTTGTTATAGCTGTTATATCCAGCCACAAACTTGTAGGATCTTTGAGTTGGAAAGTACCTCAGAAGCAACCTAGTGCAATCCTTACCTGAACCAGAATCCTCACTACAACATGTGGTCATCCAGCTTTTGCTTGAAGATATCTAATGAAATCACTAGGTCTTTTTTGGATAGCTCTCATTCTTAGAAAGTTTTTCCTTTTGATCATTTCCTGAACAAACTAGTGGTATGTTGGTAAATGTTTAACAACTGGCTCTCTGAAAGAAAAAATGTACTCGACATACTTTTATGTTTATTCAACTTTTATTAACATTTTCTCCATCATTTTGGGATGTAAATGCTCACACTGAAAATTTAACAATCAAACCAGCTCCAGCATACTCCTATCAACAGATAGAAACTTTATGACTAACAGCACTGATTTCACTTACAAGCAAACCTGGGTGGAATACTACCTATTAGTAAGAGTAGCTATGAATAATTTTATTATTATAACTTGGCGGGGGAGGGCCTGACCTGTGATTATATTAATGTAGAAAACTAGGATGGAAATTCCCTCTACCAATTCATATCAGCAACTGTAACTTGCAGTCTTAGGGTACTGAAAGTTTAAGTAACTTGCCCATGGTCATATAACTAATATGTGTCATAAGCAGAACTTGAACCCAAGTTTTCTTCCCAAAACCCAGTAACCAACATAAAAACCAATAATTGTTCATTATCTCCACTTTAAAAAACATCCTAAGGAGTTGAAGATGAGGGTGTGTGTCACAGTTCACAGTAATCTTAAAGTTGTTAATTCTCTTCTCAATGGTTGTTCTTTTACATGTTTGGACTTGAAAATTATTTTGTTCATCATATTTTAATATTTCAAAAGATATGTGATTTCAGTGTTATAAGTCCTCCCTCCACTGATAAAAATTAGTACTCATTTTTCTTGTAATCACCCCTAATTTATTTAACTGCCTCCAATTTCTTCACTTCATTATTCACGTAGTTGCCTAAATAATTTCCCTAGTATGCAGTTATAGCTATATCATTATCTGCTTGAATACCTTTAGTGGCTTCCTATTCCCTAGAGTATAAAGTAGAAACTACTTAAAGAGCAAGTATTTAAGCCTTCTACAATCTTGGATCCAGCTTACCTTTTTCATTTATTGCACATTTCTCCTTTATTTGCTTTATATTTCAGCCAGACTGGACTACTAGCTATACTTCAATCTCATCCTGCCAACTCCTATCTCTCAGCATTCACATAAGCCATTACAACTTACCTTGGAATGGATTCTACCACCCCCAATCCCCCCCCCCCTTCCTGCATTTAAAATTAAAATTCTTTTCTTCCTGCAAGGCTAGTTCAAGTTCCACTTAATCCATTATGCCTTCCTTGATTGCCCAGATGAAAGTGTTCTCTTTCCTTACGTTTTCTAGTGTACTCTCTGGTTTTATCTTATGAAACTTTACTTCCTGTTGTACTTATCTGTCTCCATATCATAACCTGCCTAGAAAATTATAAATTCTTTCAGCTGAGGGACTCTGTCATCTTTGTACAGCTAGTGCCTAGCAAATAATAATGTCTTAATAAACATTTGTTGAATTGAATTCATTGTTGCTACATATGTCTAGGTATAGTGGACAGAGGTAAAGTGTCCCTTTCCTTCTTTAACATTGGGATAAATAAAGATAATACCACATATGGAATGATAATCAGGTAATTTGTTACCAGGAGTCACAGTTAACAGTCAGGGAGGTAAATAAGATTTTCAATAAGATTATTGTTTCCGAAGGTTGAGTAAAGAGAGGCCCAGCATCCAAAACATATGAGGTTTTACTCCTCTAGTACACCACCCTAGAAAGACCACATCTATAGTATTGTCTTCAATTGTGGAAGTTCTCACATTTTTGGAAGGACATTGATAAGCTGGAGATTGTCCAGAAGGGTGTACATGTGGTAAAGGGCCTTGAAATCATGCCATATGAGGATTAGTTGAAAGAACTTAGGATATTTAGACTGGAGAAGAGAATACTTGGAGAGGGTAGAGTGGGGGGAGATGAGGAAGAGTTAGTGGTCAAGTAGTTGAAGAACTGTTACCTAAAAGAAAGGTTAGACTTTTGTTTGGTCCCAGAGGGCAGAACTAGGAGAACTGGGAGGAAGTTTCATTGAAGATTTAGGTTTGATATAATCTTCCCAGCAATTAGAGCAATGCCAAAGTGTATTGAGCTGCCTCAGGTGGCAGAGGGTTACCCCTCCTTGGAGGGTCTTCAAACAAAAGCTCAGCGTTAAGTATTTGGAGAAGAAATTCTTTTTCAGCAGTGGGTTTAACTAAAGTAGATTCTGATGTCCCCTTCCAACTCTGAGATTCTTTGATTCTGTTTGTAATAATAGAGCTTTAAGTGAAAATCATTTACTAATGCATGAAATAAAAAAAAACTTACTGATATTTCATACTTTTATATGCAGTATTTCAATACTTCTTTGAGTCTGTGAGCTCATCAGTGAGGGAATTCCCTCCAGCGCTGCAGATCTCAGCTCATCCATACTTTTCTTATCCTGTGAAACAACTGCTTATGTTCTCCCATAAATTTTCTAAGGGGACTACTAAACATGCTTCAGGCATTTTGTTGTCTTTGCACAAGACTTAAAAAAAAAACCTCCAAGAAAATACTCATTGGTGTCTCTTGCTTTGAGGTTCTATCAATACAGATTTATCAACAAATCTTGATTATGGTACCTTCTATCCACTGATCTCCCTGACACTCTCCTTCTTTGCTTAATTAGTACAGCGCCTGGCTCACAGTCTCCTCTCCCCAACTCCTTCCCTCATACTAAGGAAACTTCAGCATATATATTGACACCTTAAATTCCCAGTTCTTCAACATATCTCCTATGGCCTATGCCTCTACCCTACCTCAGCTATGGACAGAGATGGTCATACCTTTCATCTAACCATCACCTATGTGTTCTACTTGTAGGTTCATGAACTCTGAAATTCCTTTATCTGAATGTAATGTTATCATTCCACTTTTCCCTCTGCCTTGTAACCCCTCCATAGATTTTTTTTTCCCCCAGGCTATCTCCCTTGCGTTGGCTATGCTTTTCTCCCCTCCCCATTTGACCTCTTGATGAACCAATATAATTTTATCCTATACTCTTCTCTCAAGTCACTTGCACTCTTATCCTGTTGTCAGATTTACCATACCAAGCCATAGCCTTGGACTACTTCCACAGTCTACTGCCTTCACTTCTATTCATGCGCTGCAGAACAAAGCTAGAGAAAATCACAAAACTGTATCAATGGTTTCTACTACAGATTTGTTAAAGAATCCCAACTGAGCCCTCACTGTTGCAAGGTAGTCCTTTTACAATTTACAGATGTAAAACTACCTTACAGGTGATTTCTTTTATATCTCCATAGTCAATTCACTGATATTCTCACTACAGCTGCTTTCCCATATCTTTTCATCCCTTCTCAAATCTCCCATGACTCCTCCCTTCCTCCATATTCTTAGCTAAGAATCTTGCCTTTCACTGAAAAAATGAGGCATTTACTGAGAGCTCCCTCTTCTCCCCTTATTTCATATCTTTCAGATGCCTTCAGTTAATATCTGCACCCCTCTCTAGCTTGAAGAGGTGGTCCTCCTTGCCAAGGCAAGCCCCATGCCTTGATCCCATTCCATCTTGTCATGTTCAGCAGATTACCCCCACTTTCATTAATCTTCAATCTCTCCCTGTCCATCAGCTGCTTCCCTGCTGCCTGCAAACATGCCCATGTCTCCCATATTCTTAAAAAACCCTAATTTAATCCATTCATTCCCCCATAGCTGT